TTGAGCTGGTTGTTGGGGCCGAGTCGAGGAGTCTGGCCGGGTCGAGGATTAGGCCGGGTCGAGGGGCTTGGCCGGGTCGAGCGACCCGGCCAAGCGTGAGCCGGCTTGAGGGGCGATGCTGGCCCCGTTGTTTTTGAAAAGGATCCGGTTTCCGTTGCCTGCCCAGGGTTCGTCCCCCCGACAGTAGTCCCCGAAGCTGTGAAGGTCCGCCGTCTTTGGATGGGATGGCCTTTGCAGTTTCCCCCTTTGAAGGAGGCGAATTTTGTGACCGCCAGGTCCGGCAACACCCACTGTGTGCCGGCTTCCAGAAGCCGGATCGCGGCATCCCAGCAGTGGCGGGAAACCAGGAGTTCACCGAATCTTTGAGGCAATCTTTTGGGCTTCGCGCGGGCGCCACATGGCGTCTATGAGCCAGAGGGGCCTGACAGGCCACACGCATGACGGGACAAGGCAACACGCTGGGGCCCGCGGCCGCGCGCCCTCGGCCCACGCGCGCGGATTTATTGCGGTGTCCGCAAGTTGGTTGCCATTTTGGAGGCAGTTATTGCACGCGTTCATTCGTAGTTATTGCGGGGAAGTGGGAAAGGCGAGCGCAAATGATCCCACTCCCCCATGTTTCGAACCGTGGCTTATAAATCGGGGTGAGGAGGGGGCGGCGAAAATCATTCTCGCTTGCGCCCCTGCCTTCGTCTTCCTTCCTCTGCCTCTTGCGACCGCCGCAGATCGCGACGCCCATTGCTTTGAGGAGAGCTTCGTAGCCACCTTCTTCTTTCTTCTCTCTTCCGTGCTTTCATCGATGGCGCTGCCGTCGGGCTCGTGGATGGGCTCGACCGTCACTCTTGATGACATCGCTTACCTCCGCACCACCAGGCACCTGCCGGGGGCGACGAAGGTCGTCGCGCGCCTTCCGTAGGGCGAGCGGGAGCCGCGGCCGAGGGCATGGAGCGTGTGGTCTTCTTCCTGCACTTCAAGCGCTGGTCCAGGCTTCCCGCGAGCGGCTTCTTCTGCGACTTCCTGGAGTTCTTCGGGCTCCAGCCGCATCATCTAGACGCTGGCGCCACCGTGCAGCTGTCGGGCTTCGTCACCCTTTGTGAGGGGTACCTGGGGGGTCGAGCCTTCGATCGACCTCTCGGTACACTTCTCCTTGAAGCAGCAGTCTGGAGGCCAGCTGAGTTCGCCGTAGTCAACTCTCTCAAGTCTCACCCCAGCGAAGGAATCGAGGAGGCGCGGCCAGAGTCGAGCACCGCGAACCCTCCTTCTCCGTCGTCTGCCACAGGCCACGGCTGCCGTCGATGACCGCGACGCCGTCTTCCCGAGCTCTAGTCGCCGTGCCGTCGACCATGGCGTTGCCGCCGCTGCTCCTCCGGCCTCCCCGATCCTTCCGTCGCACTCCTGGTGAGCAGGCAAACATCCCCAGCCCTTCCTCTCTCACAACCGCGTCCTGGAACATCACCGCATCGTGCGCCGCCTCAGATGCTTGTCGCCGGCGTCGTTCCGGCAACTCAGAAGTAGCAGCGCCGCCCTAGCTAGGTTCGGCACGAGCCCATGCTTCGACCACGCCACTTCGCGCGTTCCCCGGTGGTCTGCTCCGCCGTCGCTGGCGTCGGTCACCGGCCGGTCGCCAGGGATGACCTGGCCTGGCGGGTCCTCCGCCTGACCGTTGACCCGGGCCCGTGGTCTGCTTGCGTGGCACGCTGACCCAGGGGTCAGTGACCCTGGGCACCACTGCTATGTACCACAGCGATTGCCCCCGTTCTGTTAATTTCCAGAAATTCTAGATTTTGTTTCAGTCTTGTAAATTCCATAACTTTTATTTTGTAATTCAAAAAAATGTGTTTTATATATCACAATGTTATGTATTTTAAGCTCTATATTTCAGTACCATTTTCATGCACATTTGAATAACTTGAATTTTGAGCGTATTTAGGAATTCAATTAATTAAATCAATTTTTATTGTTTATGGTTTTATGGAAATGCTATAATTAAGAATTCCAATCCTAATTAATATGATTGGCATGCCGTAGGGTTAATTCATGTCATCGTATTGTTCGTGCATTGCATCGATGCCATGGTTGATTGTCGTTTTCCTTGGTTTTGGTGTTTCTGGTTCCTCCTGGTAGGATCTAGAGTCGATGTGAGCCATGAGTCCGATGATCAAGATCAAGATGGACAACACCAATGAACAAGTTCGGAACAGAGATCGACACAATCAAAGAGTTATTAATCAATATTAGCAAGTAAGGCAACCATCTCCTGACCTTTATCGCAGCAGCAAGCATGCGCTTCAACTGTCGTTTATCGTCTATGGGCAGGTAGAGTTACCTAACCCAATGCATGATCCTTTCCTGTAGCGCTAAAACCTCATCCACTCCTCCTAGCATAATTAGGATTTTGCTTGCACGTCGGCTAGAGCACTACCCCAGGATTGACCCGCTGTGGCGCACGTAAATAACGGTCTATGGCGTACGTGAGGTGCGTCACAGACTACGCGCCACTGTTAAGGTCTTAACTGTGGCGCATCCACAGATGGCCACAGTTAAAGAATTATAGTGCCGGTTTGAGTTACCAACCGGTTCTAATGCAAACCACGTGGCCGCGGTCGAGAGCGGGGCAGTGTACCTTTCGTACAGGTTGTTGTTACCAACCGGTATTAAAGATTATCGCTTGATAGCTGGAGTACATTCAAAGAAACTAAGCCAGTGAATTGAGCAAGCAGTGGATACAAAAAAAGAGAGGATGTGACAATCAATTGAAGGCTGATCCAAACATCAGGATTCCTTAGCTGGGAGAAATTGTTTGGACGGTTGTCTCAAACTGCTTCCTATTTTGAGTTGTAATACGAGTCTCTCTAAACTTAGTGGTCAATGTGGTTGTGTTAGACGGTTTTATGTTTGATCTTTCTATACTTTAGTTTGCTTTTCTTCTCAGTTGATGCGCTTTTTGATATTTTCTAGAAAAAACTATTTGTTATGTTATCCTTTGGTAATGGAAGTCGGCTCCTTTTGGCGCATCTTTTGGCGCATGAAAAAAAGAAACATAACCTGAACAATCCTTGTAGGAGTAGATTGTTTCAACTTGGAGACCGGAAGTTGCAGACACGATGGGCAATGCGTTCAAACTTCGGATGGAACTTTATGCAGTTGTCACTTTTTGCCACATCTACAACATTTCTCGATAGTAGTTATTTGATGTGAAACAGATTTCTGAAAACTGTAAAAAGGTTAAAAAATACAAATTTTGAGGAAAATATGGTAGATAATGAAAAAAGAACAGAAGAAAAATGTTAATATTAAGCCACTCCCATGCTAACTTGAGAGGGGTTTTACTAGATAGTTATCCGTGTTGGGATTCGCAGCATGGAAAACAAAAAAAATTCCTACGCAACAACGAATAAACCCTAGCCAAGATCCATCTAGGAGATGCATGCAACGAAACATGAATATGCAAACATGCATAACTTGATTTACATACCGTTGCAAATCAGTAGCGGAAGCTCGAAGGAGGGTCTCGATGAAGTCCGGTCACGATCTGTTTAGTCTTGGTGATCCGCGAGATGATCCAAGCGCTGCAAGTGCAACGCCTCCGAGGTGATACACACGTACAGCTAGACGACGTCGGCGCTTCTCCGTTCCAACGGATACACGGCGAGCTAGAGAGATCACTTCAACGTCACGGCAGAGTCACGATGAACGTGGTGCAATTCCGGCAGGGCTTCGCCCGGACGGTCCTTCGGAGATTGCCGGAACTAGGGTTCCGACAAGGTTCCGGCGATCACCGGCGAGATCCGAAGATCTAGACGTGATCCCGGAGGAGGAGAGGATGGAGCACCGGGCACCGGGGACGGCCAACGCGACGCGGGAGGGCGACGGCGGTGGGCGGCGGCGCGTCGGCGGCGGCGGGCGGCGGCGCGGCGGCGGCGATCAGGCGGCGGCGGCGGTTCGGGCAGGGCGCGGGTGGAGGCCGGGGCTGCGTGGGCACGTGTGCTTGTTGTGTTGTTTGCCTTGCCCCGGGGTCTCATTTATATAGGCGGACACAAGAGGCCACGCTTTCGCAAACCGAATAGAACTCCGTATACCAACCCGATTCAAACTCCACATGCCAAATTGGAAAGGAAAAAGAACACACCGGAAGGAGTGGGGAGGAGGGACTCCTCTGCCTCTCCAATTCGGCTAGGAGGGAGGAGGAGCCCTCCCTCCCCCACCGACTTGGCTAGCCCAGCACGTAGGAGGGAGGCGGCCTCCTCGAGCAGCCTCCCGATGTGCTCTCCCGCGTTCTTCGACGGCGGCAGTGACGTCCTCTCCGGCGGCACGGCGGCGGCAGCGGACTCCGATGCATGCTCCGCAATGGCGGCGACCTCCTCCTCCCGTCCTCTCCGGCGCGGCGACGGCGGCGACCTCCTCCTCTTCCTGGCCCTTCCTTCCCGTGGCGGTCTTCAAGGAGAGAGAGCGAAAAAAGTGGTTGAGAGCAGGACGAGGAGATAAGGTGTGGGCTTGATGGGATATAGGCCAAGCGTGGGCTGCTCCTATAGGCACGCGGTGCTTTTTTCAGGTCGTGACGCACCGCACGAGAGAGCGTATGGTGCGGCGCTTCTCTGTATCATTTTCCAACAATGATTTTGCCTAGGCAAAACAATGATGCTCATGCATTGTTGATGCATGCATCGTTCTCGCTCTCTCTTTCATTTTTATGCAACGTGATAGTAGTTTTCTTTTATTGTTTTGATGTGGAGACTTGGTAGTCTAGGTTACAACTTTGCGTAACCTCATATGTTTTTAGAGTTCAACTTTGCATAACGTTGCTTTTCTTACGACATTGCATAGTGTACTCCGCCAAAAAAACATTGTATAGTGTCTTTTAAAACAAAGGAGGAATATTGTGCGATGAAAAAACACTCCGTGGGTACGTATATCTAACAAATGGCATATTGTTACGTAGTATGAAATTTTTCTAAGTCGTTACAAATACTATTGAACTTTGGTTCAAAAAACAGATACTAGTATTAAACCACTAGCTCGGGAGAAAAGATCCACATGGACTCAAAGTATTCAATGTCCCTCCGTGTCTTGCTCATAGTTTGTGACTTCATGTTGTATTTCTCCCCCGTGTCGATAAAATGAATAGCATCTTGGTCCGCCTCATCACAAGTTGAAATAGACTTGCAGAAGAATCTGCTGATGAAAAGCGTTTGGCTGCCTAGCCCACCAACAATCGGCACCCAGCAGTGGGCACCTTTGCAGGCATCCGCCTCATAAACCTCTACCTTGAGAGTGAAGCTGATATTATAGGAGGGCACTCGAACTTGTCGTATCACCATTAATAGTTTTCCACATGACTCGACTAAGTACCAATGGTCCCTAACTTCATCCTCATCATTCGACCAAGCAGTAACGCCTTCAAGAATCATGTCATCGCCGGTTTTCTTCCGGCGTTGCTCTATGGTGTCCTCTTTGCTCTGTTCCTCATTATTGGCGACCTCATCTATATTTCCCGTATCATTGTTCGCGGAGTCAAAATTTCCATTATCATCGCTCCACACTTTGAACCAATAATTTTTTTTAGAACGAAGGCTCAAGCAAGAGCCCGGCTTTGAATTAACAAAGCCATCAACCGGCCAGGATTACAACTCCAAATTACATCACTCACCAACTAAAAAAAGAAGACAAACAGCAAAGATACAAGGGCGCCAGGGAGCTGCTCACAATGCACATACAGCAAGCTAGGTAGAAGATTGGCGAAGAGCATATAGCTTGGAGATGCCATTAACCTCTTGCACGCCAAAGCCAAGGCGAAAGCGATATCCTGATCAGGAGACTGCACCGACGACGATGCATGGCACGCCGTTGCCACAACAAACTGGGCTTGAAGAAGACACATCCGTCCAGATCCATCGTCAAAGAAGGCCCCTGCCTCCTCGCCTGGCTCGAAGGCGCCGCACCGTTGAAGGATGGACATGCTCACCCTAGAGCCTGGAAGGATGGCATCGAAGAAGCCACTTGGGCGGAACCAGGCATTCCCAACATGCCGGCGACGACTCACCTAGAGCAGAGCAACACCATACGCCATAGTTCTGACTTGAAAGAGGGCGAGCAGTCAGAATGCATTGGGCAGCAGCAAGGCCAAGATCTGATTGGGAGCAACGGCTCGGTCGACGAGCTGAAGTGCAGCCACCGTAGGAGGGGAACCCTATCCCCTCCCGTCCTGGAGATCCATGGGCACCGGAGGAATACACTGCAGCCCGGCGCAGAGCACCACAACAACTTGACCCAGCACCCAGGGAGACACCGCCACCGCTGGATGCACGCTGCCGCCGCCGACACACTCCACCTACACCACAGTGAAGCCCACAACCCATCCTTGTTCCCAAAACAGCGCCTTCATGAAGGTTACGGCGCCAAGGGCGTCGCCGCTACCCAACAAAGTTGAGGATTTCTCCCGGGAGACAAGGGGAAGGGAATGGGGGCAAGACCTAAACGGCGCCTCCGGGAAGGTGCGCGGCGCCCGCAGGCGTCGCCGCCGGCATGGCGACTGGGGTTTCCCCCGGTCTTGCATCCTTGACACCCGCTCCCGCCCAAAGCAGAACCGGGGCCCCACGAAGAGGCAGGTCGGATCTGGGTGGGGGAGAGGCCCGCTGGAGAAGAAGGGCAGTGGGGACGGCCAGATCTGACGCAGCCGGAGCTGACGCCGCCATGCGCGCTGGCCCGCATTCTTTGGGGATCTCACTGTCCACACGGCCAAGAACAGCCAACCCGCGCCCGTGCCACCGGAAGCCGAAGCCGGCGACGCCACACCAGTCGGGGCCGCCGCCCCAGATCCAGAGGCCCCCCGCGGGTGAGGCGAGGCGGCGAGGGCCCCGCCGCCACCTTCATCGGCGGCGCGCCATGAGCATGGCCACAGCGGCCTCGGGCGGCGGTGAGGGGATGGCGAGCAGGGGAGGGAGGCGGCGGGGTTAGGGTTTCGCCCCTCGGGTCGCCCGAGCGGGGCGACACGAGGGAGGGGAGAGGAGCGGCGGCTATGTTCTAGTTTAGCGTTGAACCAATAATTTCCCGGTGGGTGCCTGATGAGGCGCTCGATAGTTGTGATGGTGGGTACGCCTTTGTTGTCGAAATCTATACCAAAAGAGACAAGATCCTCGGCGTGAGTGATTCCATATAGCTTGTCTCCAAGAAATGCAGTGTCGACGATGTAGATGAAGGGAGCAGTTTGTGGCTTAGGCAACCACACACCTTTCCCTGTCCGGATCAAGATGATAGGATAATTCCAATTGTTGGTTATGACGACTATGATGTCGTAAGGGGTTGTCCGCATACGTAGTTTGTGGACCCCTAAAAGCTCAGAAGCATGGCCGATCACAGCGTCAAGCTCTGGGAGCGGCACAGTCGTGTTGGTGAAGGGATCATGCAAGAAGTAGCTATGCGTCTTCTTCCTGACATCCGTGCGGTCGAGGAGGAGCCAACTATCAGCCGAGGCTACGCATCTCGCGTTCCTGGGCAAGGAGGGGATGCGCGCGGGCGAGGTGCCGCCGGCGTCCGAAGGTGTGAGGAACGAGCCATCGGACATGACAATCCAGGGGATCTGCCTTGGAGCTGGAACGTGCCTGCTCATAGCCAAGTGCCACGAACGACACACGGTGCAGAAGCGAGCGCGATCGGCAGAGGCCGAGTGCCGGGCATGGCGCGCGGCCTCGAAGCCATCGGAGAAGTGGAGGAGCCGGCGTAGTCCAGACCACGCCGTGGAGACGAGGCCACGCCGATCAGTGGAGGAAACGAGGCCGTCAATGATGAGGTGTAGCACGTCCTCGGGAATCTCAGACAACGGCGACGCCATTGATTGATTGATGCAAGCTCTCTGGATCTCTCTGGATCGCGTGAAGCGTGATAGTCGGTGCCCCGTAGTCCTGCTCTGGTGGTTTGTTCCGATCGTATGCATATATATGGAACGGCATAGGACTATCCCGAAACGGCCTGGTACCCTTTTTTTCGTTCCGGAACGGAGTAGTAATCCGGAGGCCAGCTGAGTTCGCCGTAGTCAACTCTCTCAAGTCTCACCCCAGCCAAGGAATCGAGGAGGCGCGGCCAGAGTCGAGCACCGCGAACCCTCCTTCTCCGTCGTCTGCCACGGGCCACGGCTGCCGTCGATGACCGCGACGCCGTCTTCCGGAGCTCTGGCCGTCGTGCCGTCGACCATGGCGCTGCCACCGCTGCTCCTCCGGCCTCCCCGATCCTTCCGTCGCACTCCTGGTGAGCAGGCAAACCTCCCCAGCCCTTCCTCTCTCTCAACCGCGTCCTGGAACATCACCGCGCCGTGCGCCGCCTCAGATGCTTGGCGCCGGCGTCGTTCCGGCGACTGAGAAGTAGCAGCGCCGCCCTAGCTAGGTTCGGCACGAGCCCGTGCTTCAACCATGCCACTTCGCGCGTTCCCCGGTGGTCTGCTCCGCCGTCGCTGGCGTCGGTCACCGGCCGGTCGCCGGGGATGACCTGGCCTGGTGGGTCCTCCGCCTGACCGTTGACCCGGGCCCGTGGTCTGCTTGCGTGGCACGCTGACCCCGGAAAAAAATTCTATGAGACCAGGTCTCACGGGTTAGCAGGTGAGACCCATCCTGATGGATGACACGTGGCATTCACAAATCACAAAGCATCTACCCCATCCCCCACCTGAAATCAGGGGGGAGAGATTAGATGCTTTGTGATTTGTGAATGTCACATGTCATCCATCAGGGTGGGTCTCACCTGGTTTATATCAGACCTGGTCTCATATAATTTTTTTCCCGCTGACCCCTGGGCACCACTGCTATGTACCACAGCGATTGCCCCCGTTCTGTTAATTTCCAGAAATTCTAGATTTTGTTTCAGTCTTGTAAATTCCATAACTTTTATTCTGTAATTCAAAAAAATGTGTTTTATATATCACAATGTTATGTATTTTAAGCTCTATATTTCAGTATCATTTTCATGCACATTTGAATAACTTGAATTTTGAGCGTATTTAGGAATTCAATTAATTAAATCAATTTTTGTTATTGTTTATGGTTTTATGGAAATGCTATAATTAAGAATTCCAATCCTAATTAATATGATTGGCATGCTGTAGGGTTAATTCATGTCATCGTATTGTTCGTGCATTGCATCAATGCCATAGTTGATTGTCGTTTTCCTTGGTTTTGGTGTTTCTGGTTCCTCCTGGTAGGATCTAGAGTCGTTGTGAGCCATGAGTCCGATGATCAAGATCAAGATGGACAACACCAATGAACAAGTTCGAAACAGAGATCGACACAATCAAAGAGTTATTAATCAATATTAGCAAGTAAGGCAACCATCGCCTGACTTTGTGAACCCTGTTGTCAAAGTATTTTATTATCGCAGCAGCAAGCATGCGCTTCAACTGTCGTTTATCGTCTATGGGCAGGTAGAGTTACCTAACCCAATGCATGATCCTTTCCTGTAGCGCTAAAACCTCATCCACTCCTAGCATAATTAGAATTTTGCTTGCACGTCGGCTAGAGCAATACCCCAGGATTGGCCCTCTGTGGCGCACGTAAATAACGGTCTGTGGCGTACGTGAGGTGCGTCACAGACTACGCGCCACTGTTAAGGTCTTAACTGTGGCACATCCATAGATGGGCTACAGTTAAAGAATTATAGTGCCGGTTTGAGTTACCAACCGGTTCTAATGCAAACCACGTGGCCGCGGTCGAGAGCGCGGCAGTGTACCTTTCGTACAGGTTGTTGTTACCAACCGGTATTAAAGATTATCGCTTGAAGGCTGGAGTACATTCAAAGAAACTAAACCAGTGAATTGAGCAAGCAGTGGATACAAAAAAAGAGAGGATGTGACAATCGATTGAAGGCTGATCCAAACATCAGGATTCATTAGCTGGGAGAAATTGTTTGGATGGTTGTCTCAAACTGCTTCCTATTTTGAGTTGTAATACGAGTCTCTCTAAACTTAATGGTCAATGTGGTTGTGTTAGACGGTTTTATGTTTGATCTTTCTATACTTTAGTTTGCTTTTCTTCTCAGTTGATGCGTTTTTTGGTATTTTCTAGAAAAAAACTATTTGTTATGTTATCCTTTGGTAATGGAAGTCGGCTCCTTTTGGCGCATCTTTTGGCGCATGAAAAAAAGAAACATAACCTGAACAATCCTTGTAGGAGTAGATTGTTTCAACTTGGAGACCGGAAGTTGCAGACACGATGGGCAATGCGTTCAAACTTCGGATGGAACTTTATGCACCTGTCACTTTTTGCCACATCTACAACATTTCTCGATAGTAGTTATTTGATGTGAAACAGATTTCTGAAAACTGTAAAAAGGTTAAAAAAATACAAATTTTGAGGAAAATATGGTAGATAATGAAAAAAGAACAGAAGAAAAATGTTAATATTAAGCCACTCCCATGCTAACTTGAGAGGGGTTTTACTAGATAGTTATCCGTGTTGGGATTCGCAGCATGGAAAACAAAAAAAAAATCCTACGCAACAACGAATAAACCCTAGCCAAGATCCATCTAGGAGATGCATGCAACGAAACATGAATATGCAAACATGCATAACTTGATTTACATACCGTTGCAAATCAGTAGCGGAAGCTCGAAGGAGGGTGTCGATGAAGTCCGGTCACGATCTGTTCAGTCTTGGTGATCCGCGAGATGATCCAAGCGCAGCAAGTGCAACGCCTCCGAGGTGATACACACGTACAACTAGACGACACCGGCGCTTCTCCGTTCCAGCGGATACACGGCGAGCTAGAGAGATCACTTCAACATCACGACGGAGTGATGATGAACGTGGTGCAATTCCGGCAGGGCTTCGCCCTGACGGTCCTTCGGAGATTGCCGGAACTAGGGTTCCGACAAGGTTCCGGCGATCACCGGCGAGATCAGAAGATCTAGATGTGATCCCGGAGGAGGAGAGGATGGAGCACCGGGCACCGGGGATGGCCAACGCGACGCGGGAGGGCGACGGCGGTGGGCGGCGACGGGGCGGTGGTGACTGGCGGCGGCGGCGGGCGGCGGCGCGGCGGCGGCGATCAGGCGGCGGCGGCGGCTTGGGCAGGGCGCGGGTGGAGGCCGGGGCTGCGTGGGCACGTGTGCTTGTTGTGTTGTTTGCCTTGCCCCGGGGTCTCGTTTATATAAGCGGACACAAGAGGCCACGGTTTCGCAAACCGAATAAAACTCCGTATACCAACCCGATTCAAACTCCACATGCCAAATTGGAAAGGAAAAAGAACAACCGGAAGGAGTGGGGAGGAGGGACTCCTCTGCCTCTCCAATTCGGCTAGGAGGGAGGAGGAGCCCTCCCTCCCCCACCGACTTGGCTAGCCCAGCACGTAGGAGGGAGGCGGCCTCCTCAAGCAGCCTCCCGATGTGCTCTCCCGCGTTCTTCGACGGCGGCAGTGACGTCCTCTCCGGCGGCACGGCAGCGGCAGCGGACTCCAATGCATGCTCCGCAACGGCGGCGACCTCCTCCTCCCGTCCTCTCCGGCGCGGCGACGGCGGCGACCTCCTCCTCTTCCTGGCCCTTCCTTCCCGTGGCGGTCTTCGAGGAGAGAGAGACAAAAAAGTGGTTGAGAGCAGGACGAGGAGATAAGGTGTGGGCTTGATGGGATATAGGCCAGGCGTGGGCTGCTCCTATAGGCACACGGTGCTTTTTTCAGGTCATGACGCGCCGCACGAGAGAGCGTACGGTGCGGCGCTTCTCTGTATCATTTTCCAACAATGATTCTGCCTAGGCAAAACAATGATGCTGATGCATCGTTCTCGCTCTCTCTTTCTTTTTTATGCAACGTGATAGTAGTTTTCTTTTATTGTTTTGATGTAGAGACTTGGTAGTCTAGGTTACAACTTTGGGTAACCTCATATGTTTTTAAAGTTCAACTTTGCATAACGTTGCTTTTCTTACGACATTGCATAGTGTACCCCGCCAAAAAAAACATTGTATAGTGTCTTTTAAAACAAAGGAGGAATATTGTGCGATGAAAAAACACTCCGTGGGTACTTATGTCTAACAAATGGCATATTGTTACATAGTATGCAATTTTTCTAAGTCGTTACAAATACTATTGAACTTTGGTTCAAAAAACAGATACTAGTATTAAACCACTAGCTCGGGAGAAAAGATCCACATGGACTCAAAGTATTCAATGTCCCTCCATGTCTTGCTCATAGTTTGTGACTTCATGTTGTATTTCTCGCCCGTGTCGATAAAATGAATAGCATCATGGTCCGCCTCATCACAAGTTGAAATAGACTTGCAGAAGAATCTGCTGATGAAAAGCGTTTGGCTGCCTAGCCCACCAACAATCGGCACCCAGCAGTGGGCACCTTTGCAGGCATCCGCCTCATAAACCTCTACCTTGAGAGTGAAGCTGATATTATAGGAGGGCACTCGAACTTGTCGTATCACCATTAATAGTTTTCCACATGACTCGACTAAGTACCAGTGGTCCCTAACTTCATCCTCATCATCCGACCAAGCAGTAACGCCTTCAAGAATCATGTCATCGCCGGTTTTCTTCCGGCGTTGCTCTATGGTGTCCTCTTTGCTGAGTTCGCCGTAGTCAACTCTCTCACCCCAGCGAAGGAATCACGGAGGCGCGGCCAGAGTCGAGCCCCGCGAACCCTCCTTCTCCGCCGTCTAACACGGGCCATGGCCGCCGTCGACGACCGCGACGCCGCCTTCCCGAGCTCTAGCCGCCGTGCCGTTGACCATGGCGCCGCCGCCGCTGCTCCTCCGGCCTCCCCGATCCTTCCGTCGCACTCCTGGTGAGCAGGCCAACCTCCCCAGCCCTTCCTCCCTCTCAACCGCGTCCTGGAACATCACTGTGCCATGCGCCGCCTCAGATGGTTGTCGTCGGCGTCGTTCCGGCGACTCAGAAGTAGCAGCGCCGCCCTAGCTAGGTTCGGCACGAGCCCGTGCTTCGAACACGCCA